GGTTGTGGAGTCTCCTTCTCTGGAGATATTCCAGCCCCGCCTGGACAAGGTCCCGTGCAGCCTGCTCTGGGTGACCCTGCTTGGGCAGGGGGGTTGGACTAGATGACCCACAGAGGTCCCTTCCAACCCCTACTATTCTGTGATTCTGTGATTCTGCTCTTCCCGCTGCGAGAAGCTGCGAGCTGCTCCGGCTGGAAACTGCCCCTCTTGCTCTTCCTCCATGGCCCCTCGGACCTCCTTCACCTGCACGTGAAGTCGCTTGTCGGGACGGCTGGCTCTGAGAGCGGCTGTTTTGTTCATCTTTATCACGTCTGAGGTGTTGTATGAGAGCTGCTTTCCTCAAGAAATATCGCTATCTTAGATATTTATTGATTACTTGAGGTTGAAAGGAGGATTGTTTTTGCAGTGGAAATAATTCTGACATTTCCTAAAATTTGAATTTGAGTTAAAAATCAGAATCAAGTCCTGAATTGACGTATCACTTCAATACAGCATTTTGTTTCTTTTTCTTGAAGATAGCAAATTTCTTCTGCATGCAGTCAAAATATTTTTAAATCTATCGTGAAATCAGAATCAAGTCCTGAATTGACCTATCACTTCGATAAAGCGCTTTGTTTCTTGAAGATAGCAAATTTCTTCTGCATGCAAAGTGTTTTTAAATCTGTTGTGAAATCAGAATCAAGTCCTGAATTGACTTATCACTTCGATAAAGCGTTTTGTTTCTTGAAGATAGCAAATTTCTTCTCATGCAGTCAAAATATTTTTAAATCTATCGTGAAATTAAATTATAAAATCAAATATTCTAACTCACAAAAAATTTCAGTTGGTGTGACACCTAGGAAATACCATGTACCTACAAAGTGCTGGTTGCAAGGAGCCCGTGGCTGGTGACAGCAAGCTCGTGTCGGACGTTCCTGCTGCCCGCCAGCCCTTCTGATCCTTCTCGTCGGCCGCGTACGAGCGGTGCTGGTAACGCAGAGCACCCGGGAGAAGGGCTGCTCCAGTAACGGCTCTCACAGGATTCTTTCGATTATGGAATTCCTATGTAGCAAAGGGAGCTTTGTGGTATTTGTTGCTCCTGTGTATAAATAATGATCCCAAGCTGCTCTTTTTCCTGAAACACTGCAAAGTGTCCTTTTGTGTTACAGCAACTGTTCAGCTGTCAGGCGTTGCGCAAGCTGAGTATACCCGACAACGACCTGTCAAGTCTGCCAACCACGATTGCCAGCCTAGTGAATCTCAAGGAACTCGACATCAGTAAAAACGGTAAGGATCAAAAGTGGAAGTGTTTTAAAGAATTGTAATTAATGTGAACAGTAAGGAAGTTTCAATTCCTAATGCTTAACAAAGTTATGTTCTAGAAAACTCGCTCTTTTTCTAGTTTACGTACTATTTTCCTGCCTGGCACTGTGGCGAGTTCTGGGCGGGTATCTGCCTCATTTCCTTTTCTGCAGGAAAAAGCCAAAAAAGAGGTGGCTTTAGCGTAGTATCCCGTGATGACTTGTGACAGATAAACAGTAGAAACAGGAGTGGGAGACCATTTTTCAGTGCACTTGGGAGCCATTCCCCTTTCCAAAGTGGCGTTAGTGCTGCCTGGGCTCTTGGGTGATGGCTTTAAGCGGCGAGGCTGCAGGTAAACACGAACTGGGATTTACGTAGCCGGTGACTGATCTGCTGGTGTGCATTTCCAGATTCCACATTTACATCCTTACGTGCCTAAAAACCTTTGCATGTCTGAACCTCGGTGTCTTTGTTTGGAGGCTTAGGCACTCATGAAAATTTTGGAGAATGCCCTTCCAGGGTGGGTCTGGGGGCTGGCAGGGCTGTGCCCGGGTCCTGCCGAGAAGAGGGGCAGGCAAAGGAGAAAAAGATAAGCAGTTCGGAAAGAAACGGAAGGCACAAAGATCACTGAAAATGATGTCACCTTTTAATTCTAGAAGCTTATATAAATCAAGCATTAGCATAATAGTTGTAGTACAAGGCATGTTGTCTGTTCTGGTGTATTTATATAGTGCTTAAGTATCATCTTTTAGAGTATGATACTAGAATATATATATATTCCTGTTATAGCTTAAGTCTGATCTGAAAATGCCAAATGAACTCATTTATGAACAAAGCGAGCCAAACTTTCTTTAATGTGTGTATAATAATTTTTTCAAATTTTTTCAGGTATTCAAGATTTTCCAGAAAATATTAAATGTTGTAAGTGTTTAACAATTATCGAAGCCAGCGTCAATCCGGTCTCTAAGTGAGTATCAGCAGCGTGTGTTTGTGTATTGCGAGTGCAGAAACTTTACACCAAGTGAACTAAATTTTAAATGCATCATGTCAGGTTCATTTGCTGGATTAATCTAAATGCCTTTCGAATGGTTTAAAATCCAGGGTTGACGTGTCTGTGCAAAGACCTGTGTAGCACGTAACCAGCGCGGTGCCTTGCACAGAGCACGGGAAGCGCTGGCAGAGCACCCTGGGGGCTGCGGCTTTGCGAGGAAGCCGTGCTGCGTCCCCACATGCCATAATCTCTTGGGTGGGACTTTGGCAACCCTTCTTCATTCCAAAAACTTGCAATAATAGTGACAAAAAAATCTGTGTTGTGATCCCATGATTTCTCAAACGGAGTGAAGGAGATGAAAGGATGAAGTTTTACAATAAAAAAAAAAAAAAAAAAAAAAGAGGTATTAAGAAAGAAGAGACCTTTGGCTTAAACCCCTCAGCTAGGAAGGGAGAAAAGGCTGACAGTAATTTGACTGTGCCAGGAATTAGAATTTCATGTAGTTACAGCAAGGTGGAAAAGATGAGAATGGGCAAAAATGTTGTCTGTAACAAGTAAGTTCTTCTTGAGAATTTGGGTAGAAAAAGCAGGTGAGAGAGAAAGTCATATTTCTCTTTCTAAATATACATAGTTATTATTTCCATAGCAACTTCGGTGCGAGCATTAAGCTTCTAACTGTTTTTCTAGGCTGCCAGATGGCTTCACGCAACTTCTAAATTTGACCCAGCTCTATCTAAATGATGCCTTCTTGGAGTTTCTTCCGGCTAACTTTGGAAGGTAAGAACTGGTCATCAAAGCACATTGCTCTTTCATATGAACCCAGTTTAGACCTGAAGGGACCCTTTTAAAGCTGTGTTCTTTTTAAAAACAAAACAAAGCAAAACAAAAAAACGCCAAGATATTTTGGGACCCCCCCTCAGGATGTTTATATCTCCTGCATCACCTCTGCCTGCACTTAAAACAGAGCCTCACCTGCTCAGGAGCAGGGACTGGCTTAGGGAAAAGGCGAGAAGAAACAGAAATTGAAGAAGAGGCCTGTCCTTGATCAAATATGTTATTACATTGTGGCAAGGGCAGAAAATAACAATATGGTCTCTGCCTGTTGAAAAATGAACCGAAAGATAAAGTGTTGTGAGCCAGAAGGGAAGGAAGAAATGACTGAGCGTGGCGGAGTAACCAAAGGAAAAAATGTGAAAGCAAGAAGGAGGGAGAAGATTCAAAAGACAGCAGAGCAGAAGGGATGTAGAAGGAGAGTAAAAATAAATGCAGCAGAAACTGAGCCAAGAGTGTTAGATAAGGACAAAGCTGGGGGGAGGAACTGAAGTGAACACCATTTTCCATGGCCGTGTAAGAGGGCAGGAGAAGCCGGTGGATCCTTACGCTGTGCGGCTCTGGCAGAAATGTCAGGTTTATTCCACCCGTGTTACCCTGGTGAGGGAATGGTCAGCCTTCCTGCCCTCAGAAGACAAAGGATGAACAGAGAAAATACATGGTGGTGGTCCAGACTTCACCTAGTACTAGTTTTCTCCAGGTCCATCCAGCTACCCGTGTGTGTGTTTTATGGTTCAACTGGGAACATCAGCTCAGCACTCCAAAGCTAATACGGAGGTGACATAATTCGTGCTGGAAATGACTTTGGTGTGCTCAGGCGTTGAGAAGTAGAAAGGGTGGCTTTCTCAGCGTTTCCTCGATGGGCCGGTCACTGACCCGGCGCTGAGTCTGGGCTTTCCAAAAGGAACGCCTTTTGGAAAATCCGAGTTGAAGAAAGAGGGAGGAAAACTGTCATTGTTTGCATCTGATGAGTGTTTGAAATACAGGAGTAAATCCCAAGACAGCGTGCCTCTGCAGTTTGGAATCCAACATGATGTTCAGATGTCAAGGAGAAATAAATGTATGAGATACCCTGCAGTTTGTCAGACGTGTAGTGTTCATACTCATTACGCTCTGTGAAAGCCTTGCCGGTGCTTTGGCTAATGGTCTTTGTTGCTTAAGGGCATGTCCAGTATTTTAAATCTTTTAGCAGAAAGCACTGACTTTTTTTATTTATTTTACAAATTCATATTTTGTCTAAGCGAAATGATGCGAGTTGTAGTTGTTAACCCTTTATTATTATTCTGCTCCTATATGAGCTATTTGGTATCTTGCATTTGCAAATCCTTGTCAAGTTTCCGAAGCTTCCCACATTAGCATACAGACATTGCTCTTTTTTTTTTTCACTAGCCACACGTAGCTCTCTAGCTATATCTGTGTTACTGCTCTTCTCCAAACGTTAGTGCTTTCTTTATATCGTCTGGTGCAGTAACGTTCAGTCTGCTACAGCCTCATGGGCCACGTGAATAAAGTCCGGAGCGGGGGAGCCTGCCCGGGCAGCGTGTCAGTGTCTCTCCACATTTCTCATTTGAAGTAGTTCTTTTGGTCCTGGTGAAGCACAACTGCAGGACCTGAAAGGTTTTCTGCTTTATTTAGTGGGAAAAAGGTAAAATCATGGTTTTCTAGAAGAGCATAGTATTGGGAAGCCGGAGGTTCCGTGAAACAGAGAACTGGTGTGGTGCTGGGCAGAAAGCCGTTTGAAGCTTTGTGGTGGGGTTTTTAACCTTTACTCACAGGCCCAGGTTTGCACTTGTGGCACTGCAGGAGCTGGACTGCAGAGAGAGCAGTGTGGAAAGCCGTATTAATGACATCACTGGAACGCACCAGAAAGTTCCTCCATAAACTTTCTGCATGTTTAGAAACGACGTTGTCAGCCGTAAAGCTTGAGCAGCCTGACTCTGGGCTGGCATCTCCGTGCGGAAGGGATGCGCTCACAGAGGAGTTCTGCAGAACCGCTCGGTTTCACCGAGGCCTCGAGCAGGGCTGGGCATGGTCAGCTCATGCCCTGATGGCACCTCCAAACCCAGCTGGGGTGCTGCTCCGGGTGTGCTGTGAGTGGAGTTGTTCAATTTGAGACGAAGAGAAGAGGACCATGTTCATCCTTTTGGTTTTACATCCTCTCCCTTTTCCTCCCCACGTGCTGGGACTGAAGAACCAGCAAGAGGGTGACATGGATCAAAATTCTTCCACGTTTATCAGATTATCTTCCTAGACAACACGGGTAATTAGACAGTACTGCCCCCCGTTCTGGAACTCGAATGCATTAGGTTCTTCAGCTCTCAGCTGCTGTGTCCTCCTTCCTTCCCGTTAGTCTGTTCCATGAAGCTGATTGCTGTGGTTTAAATAATACTCGAGTTGGAGTTTGCACAGTGATACGGAGTTGTGAAGTCCTGTTGTGTGCAGGTTCCAATTCATGCCGACACGTAAGCACGTGTCCTGCGTCTCTTTAAAATACGGTGAACTCAGTGGAGATGTGTTCCGTTGGAGATCTCTCGTTGGACATCTGTAGTGTTGGTCTGCGTGCTGGGAGTTGTAGAATTCAGTGCTCAGAAAATGCAGCAGTAAGTCGATAACTCAATAGCAGTTGCTTTTTGTCCCTTAATAGGTCTGAAAATATTTGAGAGAAATTAGCTATAGGGATTTTTGCCTTGTTTTAAATAATTAATTAACATATTTTTGAATTACTGTGATAAACTGATACGTGTCAAAGTTCAGTTAAGGACAGGTATGTCCTATCTGAAGATGTCTGTCCTAACATGAAGCTCCTTGGTTCTGAATACATTTTTTATTATATTCAGCCCCACAATAACTGGACATTGTACTACTGTGCATTAAGCAGACTCTTTGTTTGTTGAAAGAAGTGGTTTCAAATAATTCTTATGGATTCCTTAACTAATTCATTGAATGAACTAATTATTTTATATCATATTTCTAGACTTGTCAAATTGCGAATTTTGGAGTTAAGAGAAAATCACTTGAAAACTCTACCAAAGTAAGTGATTGAATGTTTCCATAAGTCTCTTTCACCTGAAATTTCCAAAAGTGCAAAATATTTTTATTATTAGCAATGCAATGGTGTCATTTCTGTTAAGAGTTATTTTTTCCATGGATGACAGAATTTCTGCTGAAGGTCTTTAGCAAAAACTGAACATATAATGGAAGATGGAGACTGGTAGATTAGCTTACTGTACCTCAGTATCCAAAATCCATAACATGACATTTTAAAATACGAGATGTAAACAGGATTGGAAGACAACGTCTGAGCTAACCCTGGTCATTGATGATGTGACAGTGTTTTCCTCAGCGGGAAGCAATCTGATGTATTGGAAGCATACTCAGTGTAACCTAGGAGAACAATCTCCCTGTAAGATCTGTTCAGAAGTTACATTTATTTGCTGGTTTACAATACAATTTAGAAACCTGTATGATCAGAACATGGAAGAAATGTCAATTTGGTAGTGCTTCTTGGTACTGTTTACCAGAAAAGTAAGTTGCTATATTTTGACCAACACTTAAATGATATTTTGAAAAGGAAACAGTAAAGAAACGAAAAATACATCTATGCACTTCCCCTGCTGAGTGTAGGAAGTTGCACTGCATAAAGCAAGGAATGTGTTTTCGTGTTCAGACCAACATTGTATAGTTGTCTTCTGTGACGGGAATCCTGACCGATGAAAAACTCTCCATGGACTGGGGGACTGCTAGAAACGGGGGTTGTGTGTCCCCGTAATAAGTGAGACCTACAGTGGGGGCAATGGACTGGATTTATGGAACGTGCTAATGTGAAATTGCGTATTATTTAGCTCATTGTAAATGGGCACCCTTTTTAGCAAGCATGCATTTATCAGAATCTCCTACGCAGGCATTTTGCCTATAATGGGATGTGGTGACATTTCCACTCCTTCTCGGGGGATTTAATCCACAGCGCTTTCCTTTTTCTAAGGAAAGCTATTTTTGTGTTAAAGGCAATATTCTTTATATCAGTGGAAAGCACTTTTTTGGATAAGCTTTCTGTTTCCTCTGTTCTGAGTTACATTTACTATTTTGAAAAACAAAACCGAAAAGGCTTCAATCTGCTGCCAACGCGTTGATCCGCGCTCGAAGGACAGGGCAGCGGGTTTGCAGCCGTGGAGGTCCGTGTCCCCTGCAGGGCCACACGCCCGCGGCAGCGCCCGCGTGTCACCTCCACTGCCTCCGAGGCGCCCGGCGCCTGCAGCAGGGACTCGCGTAGGCTTTGCGTCCAGAGGGTGCTTGAATCACAGCATGGTCGGGGTTGGCAGGGACCTCTGTGGGTCACCCAGCCCAACCCCCTGCCCAAGCAGGGTCACCCACAGCAGCCTGCAGAGGACCTTGTCCAAGTGGGTCTTGAATATCTCCAGAGAAGGAGACTCCACAGCCTCCCTTGCTTCAATAACTGGATGTGTGTGCTGGGACCGAAGAGTCGGAATGCCGCAGCAGAGTCATTTTGGTCAAACAGAATCTTTTTCTTTCTGGTCTCATCCAAATGGCACTAAAGATAACAGATCTGTTAGTGAATTCAGTGGGAGTAAAAGGGGGATTTGCGTCATTATTACTAATAAAAATAGTTTTTTTCCTGTGATATGTGGTGTTTAACCAGGAAACGTTGTCATCTATGACAAGTGTTTGGAGGATTCCTACCGAAGCGTAGTAGCCCGTGGTTTCAGGAGCACCACGTTGGTGAAGATGGCGGAGTGTGACTTGTCCCACTGTATGATGCTGAAAGCAGGGGAGTTCTTTGATTCTCGTAACCAAGGGAAACGTTGTTTGTCGGCGTGTTGGTTCTCTGCGCTTCGCTGTAGCAGAAGGCTTTGCTATAGACCGCTGAGTCGAGCTGGAAGTGAAAGGTTTTGCTTGTGCAGATGGTCTCCTTAAATTTGGTAGATGAAAGGGACAGCTGGATTATGAAATGAGGTAGGAGGAAGAAAGCTGGCAAGGTCATTTTTGCATCAAATGGGATAAAACCATGAGGTCTGTGCATTTCTGGGAGTCTTTTATCTGCTAGGGCAGTTTGGTCTGCGGGCAGGAGAAGGTGCAGGGTGCAGAGGACAGGCAGGAGTGAGCATGTGTGCCCGAGCGTTGGTGCAGGGCTGTGTGCACCTCCTCCTCCCCTGGTGGGCTGGATTTGACCTCTGTGGTACTGAGACAGCAGCTCCTCGTCTGAAGCAGCAGCTCTGCGTCCTGGGGTGGGCCCGGGGGGGTCAGGGCTGAGCGTGGGAGCTGGGGGGAAGCGAGCGGGGAGGCTCGGGCGAGTGCAGACGCGGTGGCGTGGCAGAGGAGCGACAGCCGTGTCGGTGTGTCGTTTAGGCGTCACGGGGAACAGGAAAACATTACATACCAGACTGTTTTATTTTCTAAGCTAATGAGAGAAGGAAAATTGTGGTAAGAAAGCTGTGTCGACAGTAGAACCATCTGCACTCAGGAAAACAAAAGCAGTAACGTAAATCAGAAGATATTTTACAATCTAGTTGCAAAAAAGGTGACGTGGTTCTTTCCGATTCATGCTTTGAGGCTTGCTGTCTGATTCTACGATTTGTTGGGTACATCATGAGTAAGATAACCTGATCATGCTGGTAGTTTGTCCAGTAGTTCTAAAGTAAGAGAAAGACATGAAGAGGAAGGCAAATAAATAAATTTAATATTGTAATTTGGCTTTTAAATAGATGTGAAATGTACTGTAAGACTCTTTTAAGTAACTCCTGCTCGGTGCTATTACCATATTGAGTGCAACTTAAAAAGTGTTATGAGAAAGCTGATCATATTGTTTCATCTGTTCTGTGCTCTAAAATACATGTATAAAGAATTTTTAAAGGAAACATTTAGCATTTTGGCATAAACAGGAATTAAATGTGCTTTGTGTTTACTGTAGCTCTAATTTTGCCATATTTCGTACTAACTCAGCTGTCAGGATTGTTGTAAAATGCGTCCATAGTAACAGAATGCAAAATGTTCTAAAATTGTTTACAAAAATTAAGTAAATACTAACTGTAGCTGGCTGAAAGGTAGCTCTGACCAGAGCGTGGATCTCCGCAGTGTCCCTCTTTGATAGACCCAGGGTTAGAAGGTGGCAGCTTCCCTTTGCTGCATGCGTTGACATAATTTTACGGCCTCTGAAACACGTCCAAACATGTCGCTGTATTCCCAGCCACTTTCCTGATGGAAAATTAGTGCAGCGTTGTTCAGAGCGTGCTCGGAAGGCCCTGCTGATGGCTGCTGCCAGGCTTCCCAGGAGCTGGAAGAGCTCTGCCGGGCTGGCGTGTGCTGGGCTGGAGACAGACCTCGCTCTCCAGCTGAAAACATCGCTGGATGTTCCTGTTTTCTGCCAGTGGCACTTTCTCTGCAGAGGATACTACTGGGCTTACAGATACTTCTGACCCTCTGAGAATATTTGTGTGTTTAGTCTATGGACCTTCACAATACTCTTTGTAATCAGAAATTTATTTTCTCTCTTGTATGGTTTGATTTTCTCTCTTGTATGGTTTGATTTTCTCTCTTGTATGGTTTGTATTTTCTCTCTTGTATGGTTTGATTAAAGATTATTATTGATAGTGGTTTCCAGGATCTTTTGAGCGTTTAGAAATATCTGGAAACCCCTGGCCGACATTGCAAATAATTTTTAATATTTTGTAAAAGCTTTGTTGTGCGTAACAAAAATAGAAAAAATCTGGTTTTTTTTTTCTTTGGAATTTCTGTGAAATGTTTCAGAGCATTTGTGAGATTCTGACCGAGTTTCTGACGTTTGAATGATGTTAGCACCTGGGTCACAGGGCTGTCTTTTAGCTTGGAGAACCAACCAAGATAATTGTTGTTACTTTTTTTTGGTAAAAATGTGGGTTTTTTTAAATTAAATTAAGTTTAATTTAATTTAAAAATCTTTGCTCGCTGTAACAACATGCAATATCACTGTGTGATAGCTGGGGGTGGTGTTTTACAGACGGTGGCTCCCGATAGCCCCGTGCTGTTCTGTTCTGCGATACTACCCTGCGGAGTACGTGTCTGAAGCTCCAGGCGAGGCTTTCCCGTTGCCAGTGGTGTTTTCAGTCGTTTTGCACCCAAACGGAGGCTTCCCGTTCGCGACGGTGGGGTCGGAAGGACGTGATCTCCTCGTTGGTGTTCAGCTGTTCGGTGTCCGAGGGTGCAATTCCCCGCTCCTGCCCTACTGGATGGGTCAGCCCGGGTGGGAAGACGCGGGGTAAAGAGGTGGCTGCCCTGGGAAGGGGACACTTGGGGAACGGCAGTGGGAGACGGCGAGTCCCACAGCTCCCACCCGGGACCCATCCTGCCCTGGTCCCGATGCTGCGGTGAGCAGCGCTTGCCTGGCAGGGTCTGAGTCCCTATTCGCAGCTCCTCCTCCTCCACCCGCTCCTGTAAAATTGGTGTTTTTCCCATTCTGGTCAGTTATTTATCCACGTGAAGACCCTGTCTGGTCACATAGCTGCGGAGGGTAAGAGCTTTCAGTGAAGGACCTTTGCACGTATCTCTTGGAAACGAGGGTGGACTTTATTGTCCAGCATTTTTCTACTCTTGGCTTTTTCAAAAGACTCCAGGAGTGTTTTGAATCACCCCTACTCATCCCAAAAACGATGTTGAATTTCCCGTGGTGTGTCGTATTTGTCTGTGCGTCCCCTTATTCTGTGTCGGAGCCCTCAGCGCCGGGGCAGCCGGCCCAAACCCGGGACGCGGATACAGAAAGTTCATTCAGTTTTACTGCTTGGACCTTCTCTTTTTCTGAGCTGTCCTTTGGTATCTTCTGCGTAGACTCTGGGGGGCTTCCTGCTCCTGAGGGTCCGGAGGAAAGATATATTACCTTTTTATGCCCTTTTTCAGGTATTTCTGAAGATACTTTCTGGCCTTTTATAGTTAACCATTCTGTTATATTTTCCTTACTTGGAAATGTTTTCATATCTTTAAAGGATGCCTTCTAAGTCTCCTGTGGTTTCTTCTTTGCCACGTTGGCTTTGGGTTTTTCTGAAG